GGGCACCTTTTGGGATGAGCACTGGGTGTTGTATGGAAACCAATTTGACAATAAATTTCATATATTGAAAAAAATAAAAAAATAAAATAAAATAAAAAATCTAAAATCAAACTGTGAATTAAATATAAATCCGCCCTGTAAAGAGGACAGCACAACAATGTTGTCTGTCCTAGGCTTAACTCTGGAGAAGCAAAATTCTCCTTTAATAATTTGCAATTTCACATAAGTTTAGGGACCAAATTCATACTTTCTGCATGGTCCTATGTGCATTCAAGGAAAATACAATCCCTAGCTCTTAAAAACCATTCCAGAGAATAAAAAAGGAACACATCCCAATTCATTTTAGAAGACTACTATAATCACAATACCAAAATCAGATGGATGGATGGAACAGAATGCAAGTAGAGGAGAAGAAAGACTTTCATGCATTATTTGACATTGTTCTATATTGTCTAAATGTTTTACAAGATGAATGTATCCATGTATAATGTCTGTAATAATAAAACTAAAAATTTCAAAAGAAAAAAAGACTTATATGAGACAGAAAACTATAGGACATTTTCATTTAAGAACAAAGAAGCAAAAATTCTAAACAAAACATTAGCAAACTAACCCCAGCAGTGTATTAAAAAGATAGTAAACTGGGCTTATATAAAGAATACAAGACTGGCTTAACATCATAACTATTGATATAACATATAACAAACTACATTATTTAATGTAGTTAATTATATCAACTAGTGAAAGAAACAAAAATAGATGATTTTCTCAATAGGTATTTTCTACAATACAGATTCATGACTTTAAACAAATCTTAGGGATGGATGCCTGGTGGCTCAGTCGGTTAAGTGTCCAACACAGGCTCAGGTCATGATCTCGCATATTGGTGAGTTCAAAGTCCCACGTCAGACTCTATGCTGACAGCTCAGAGCCTGAAGCCTGCTTCAGATTCTATGTCTCCCTCCCTCTCTGCCCCTCCCCTGCTCACACTCTGTGTCTCAAAAATAAACAAACACTATAAAAGAAAAATTTAAACAAATCTTAGCAAACCAGAACTAAATGAAAAACAGGTCTTAACTTGAAAAAGACAGGGTGGGAGGTGCAGTGGAGAGAGAGGAAGGCTGACAAGGAGAAGGAGAGTGAGGGAGAGTGGGAAGGGGAAGGTTTAAGAGGGAGAGGGAGAACATACATCATACTTAATGATAAAAGAAGTATTCTTTTTTACAACTTGGAAAAACAGTGTCTGCTATATTGCTAGGTCTACTAAGTGCAGTAATAAAAAAAAAAAACAAAAGATATTAAAGGTTTAAGAATTAGAAAGGAAGAGGGGTGCCTGGGTGGTTCAGTTGGTTAAGCATCTGACTTTGGCTCAAGTCATGAACTCATGGTTCATGAGTTCGAGCCTCGTATCAGGCTCTGTGCTGACATCTCAGAGTCTGAAGCCTGCTTGGATTCTGTGTCTCCCTCTCTCTCTGCCCTTCTCCTGCTCACAGTCTCTCTCTCTCTCAATCACTCAAAAAAAAAAAATTTTTTTAAATGTTAATAAAAGAATTAGAAAGCAGAAACAAAACTGCCACCCATAGATGATATACTTTTGTACACAGAACACTCAAAAAAATATACAGACACATTTTAAGAATTTAAGAGTTTAGGAAAGTTACTGAATATAAGATCATTCACAAAAAACAATTTCATATCTATACACCAGTAACAGATACAAAACTGTGATTTTAAAAAACCTACCACTCCCAACAGCAATAAAAAAATAAGAGTATTTAGGAATAAATCTAATAAAAATATAAGACCTTTCTGGGGAAATTTATAAAACTTTATTAAAAGCAATTAACTAAAACCTAATAAATGAAGAGACATACTATGTTTATGGATAGGGGGATTTGAGGGTCTAGATTTCAATTTTTCCCAAGTTGAATCTTAAATTCAATGCAATTTCAATTTTTGAGTGTATGTGAAGTTTGTCCAAATGATTCTAAAATGTATATGGAAATGCAAAGGGACAAGAATAGCCAAGACATTCTTAAAGAAGAATTGGCCAACCAGAGAGAAGAACTATTACAAAATTGAAGTAATTAAGATGTGTAGTAGTGGTGAAAAAAAATCAATAAAACAAAATATAGCCCAGAAACAGATACATTCCTATGACAACTTGATATATGATCAAAGCACCACTGTAGATCTGGTGGTGAAAGAATGAACTTTTCAATGTAGGAGATATAACTTTATACTCACCAGATTACAAAATATTTAAATATTAAAATATTAAATAGCCCAAAATATCAAGTATTAATAAATATGTAAAGCAATGGGAACAGTCTTCTACTTCTGGTTGAAGTATACTTAATAAAACCACTTTGGGGAAAAAACTGGCATTATCTGTTAACGCTGAAGATACTCATTCCACTCCTAAGTATATATGTGATAGCACTCTTACATATATGTAATAGGGGCCCTGCTGCACACAAGAGTTAGCCTAGCAGGTCCTGGATGGAAGCTGGGTAACCCAGCTTTTAGAAAATTCCCAACATTGTTGGGATAAGTTTGTTTGTATGGCTGGAGCACCAAACCCTGCTGTACCAGACTGTACAGACTACAAGCAGTGTGATTTATGATGAACGACAGCTTTTCTTCTAGAAGTCTAGAATTTCTGTGATTGTGACGAATTCCACCAACATAGAGAGCCTGTGTAACCAGCCCCAGTAAAAACTTTGGATTCTAAGTCTCTAGTGAGCTTCCCTGAGTAGAAACATGCACACCTGCTCCTGTATTTCACTGCTGTCAAAGAGAGTGCACTCTGCATGGCCCCCTCAGAGAGAGTAGAGGAATAACATTCACTGTACATCCAATAAGTTCAACAAATGCCAAGTAAGATTAAAAAAAAAAAAAAAAAAGATTATCAAAAGGAGAAGAAAACAGATCAGTTGCTGCTCTGAGTTGGGGGGAATAGGGAGTTGGCTACAATGAGGGACTCTAGGAGAGGGGGCAACAGAACTGTTCTTGATTTTGATGGTGGTCACAGGACTGTATGCATTTGTCAAAACACACAGAACTGCACACTAAAACAGTGTTAACAAATAGTTAACTATATGTAAGCTGTACGTCATTTTTGGAAAGGGGGAGGGGAGGGAAAGGGAGGGCAGGGGGAAAAAAGACAAGCGAAAAGAGGAACAGTGCTCTAAAATGGAATATTGGCTTTGTTCAACTTGGAAATAAATGGCTTCCCTTTTGTTCATATTCCAACAAATCTCTCATTAATGTCTTCAATGGCTTAGGAATTCATTAAATTTGCAAGCACACACCCAATACCGTATATTACACAGACTTACTATACATACTCACATTAGAGTCTAGATGTTTTTATAATTTAGGCAACATACACTGCTTTAAATAGTAAAATAAATAACCAACCTGTGGTGTTTGTGGGGTGGTCACACCTATTGATGAACTGTCTCCACACCAGTCATAGTCTATCAATCCAGCCACATCATTTTCATCACTTGTTGTCATATCTTCTAGACTCAGATTCTTTGACTATTCAAAAAATAGAAGAACTCAGAGACAACGCCATCATGGTTCAATTTTTAAAAGATTATGTTCGAGGCACAGGGCAAGGCCCTGGAAGCAGAAACAAATCAGATAGTATACTAAAGGAGCTCACCGTCCAGGACAGGAAACAGGAAGTCAAAAAATGCCAACACAAATTATGAGGAGAATCTCTGGCTCTCAAACATGTCTTGGAACATGTTTACATATATACTCTTTAGCCAAAGATAAATTTGGCTTTATTATCAGATAATCACTATAACACCAGAGAAACAACTCGACTGCAAATCTACAAATAAAAAAGCTGTGGGGTGCCTGGGTGCCTCAGTCAGTTAAACATCTGACTTTGGCTCAGGTCATGATCTCATGGTTCGTGAGTTCAAGCCCCCCATTGGACTCTGTGCTCACAGCTCAAGCCTGGAGCCAGCTTCGGAATCTGTGAATCCCTCTCTCTCTGCCCCTCTCCTGCTCACTCTGTCTCTCAAAAAATAAATAAATGTTTCAAAAAAAAAAAAAGCGCTCTAACAAAGTAGAAAACATAAAAGAAATGACTTTGAAATACAGGTTTCTTTTTTTGCAAATACAGGCAGAATATGTAGCAATTTTTCCCAGTAGGAATAAACTAGCTTTAAGACAGGTCAGCTGGGGACAGAATATTTGGGGTCCTGTGCTAACAATACCCCCACAGTCATTTATCTCCCCCCGCCTCCACAAACTAAGGGTATACTAGACACACCCTAAATTCTAAGACTATGGAGTGTAATTGGATCTTTTATTTCTCCCTCCTTCCATTTCCGAAATTCAACATCTAGTTAAGCCAGCCAGACAATTTTACTTGAATTTCTCATACATCACCATTTACTTTCCAGTCCCACTACCACTGTTCTAATTCAAGGACACATCTTCTCAGACCTGAACTATTCAAACGGACAGTATGGTCTGTACCACCAGTGTTTCTACCCTCTCAACCAGGGATGACAGAGTTCTCCAATTATCATCAACCAGAACTGGCTACATGGAGTGCTAGCCGGAGAAAAATACTAAAGCTAAATCTAGGCTCAGTGGAGAAAAGTAACGAACGATGGCCATCCCGAGCACTGCCATAGAGAGGAACAGCACACACACATCCCTAACTGAACAAGTCTATATACCACTGGATACATTTTTCAAAATTACAGTCCTGTCAAGTGACTTATCCTATCTTGCTCAAAAATCAATGGTTCCCATTACCTATAGCATAAAGTCTAACCCTTCTGACATGGCATTTCAAAGCTCTCTACAATCTAGCTCTCACCTACCCTCCCAACTCACTCCCTCCTTCTCTTCCTTTTACTTTCGCCCTCTTGACCTCTCAATCTTTAGCCAAACCAAATCTTTAACCAATCTGATTCCTGGATCAGACTGTATTATTGTCTTGCTGAAAATGCCATCTGCTGATTAGCAGTTCAGGATTACTTACTTTTTTTTTTTTTTTTCAACGTTTATTTATTTTTGGGACAGAGCGAGACAGAGCATGAACGGGGGAGGGGCAGAGAGAGAGGGAGACACAGAATCGGAAACAGGCTCCAGGCTCTGAGCCATCAGCCCAGAGCCCGACGCGGGGCTCGAACTCACGGACCGCGAGATCGTGACCTGGCTGAAGTCGGACGCTTAACCGACTGCGCCACCCAGGCGCCCCTACTTACTTTCTTATAAACAACACCTCAGAGAAAAAAGGGTGATTCTACCAAAGGGGAGAACAGTACAAAGAAACTATGTTTCAAGTTTTAATGATTTGCATAAAAAGCAGAAAATAACCCAAAATTTTATTTCTACACTATTTCTTATTATTAAAATATCTACCTACCATAAAAATTGATTCAATAATGCCCAAATAATTACATGATCAGGGTCAATGCCCATTAGTTGAAAGAGAAGAGTAAGTATCTTCCCAGATACTTGAATACTTCATAATTCTTAGAAGCAGATGAATTGAGATTGGGCCAATCCAGATGTAAGAAAATTCAATGGCTTAGGAAAATATCTCAGAACTGTTAACAAAGGTGTTATAAATGTAAAAATTTTGCTGAAGTTTATTCTAGGTACAGACTTATCTAATGCCATTCTGCAATTACCTTGATCAGAAACAGAGTTCATGATTTTGTGTTCTCTTTGACCCCAAGATCTTCACTTCAGTCTGAAAGTTTAAAGGGTCTGGAAATGTGGGCAGGATGAGTGACAGGACAACTCATGGAGTCCATGGGTAAAAGATCTGTCTGGGCATGGTGTATTCACCAATCCAACAAAACTCTCCAAGAATAGACTAGAAAACCATCCCAGGAATGACATTATTTCACTTCAGAGATCCCTTTACCCTTTTAAGTGTAGCTCCTGGTACTTTAAAAAAAAAACCCGTACACTTTTAAGTAAAGCTCCTGGCACTTTTAGTGCTTAGTTTGGCCAAAAGACCTACTAGGGAGGAAAGGAGAAGAGGCAGAGACTGACAGGGTCTGGAAGGGACATAAGATTCCCTATACCTGCAGCACATGATTGATAAGTGCCATAAAGAGAGATCTAGGGGCGCCTGGGTGGCTCAGTTGGTTAAGCGACCGACTTCGGCTCAGGTCATGATCTTGCAGTTTGTGAGTTCAAGCCCCGCATCAGGCTCTGTGCTGACAGCTCAGAGCCTGGAGCCTGCTTCAGATTCTATGTCTCCCCCTCTCTCTACCCCTCCCCTGCTCACGCTCTGTGTCCCTGTCTCTCAATAATAAATAAACATTTAAAAAAAAAAGAGAGAGAGAGATCTAAATGAAACATTAAAGGAATTCAGGGAGGTCAGAGGGAGATTCAACACAAGATCATGAAAAAGGTAGCTTTTCTTTTGACATAATTTTGAGAGGCAGAGAAATAAAATCACCTCACACATAGTCATTTGGGCTATACTGGATTAAATAAAGAGAGCTAACTACCTCTCTCTCTGAGAATAATAAAAGTACAATTTCCTAGTGTTAGAATAATTTAAATTGCAACCTAAATTAATCAGACTGATTATATTCCAAAGTTCCCACACCCATCCAGCAAAAGATTTGGAAGGCAGTATTTTAAACCATGGGAGGTAACAAAAACTCAGAAGATAGAGACTAATGGGAGTTCTTAGGAATGACATGGTGCTTCCAAAAATGTAAAGCCTCTCCATCATTCTAAACACACATGACAAAGAAAAATGAGACAAAAAGGACAAAAGTAGAAAAAATGTGGTCACAACAAATTCATACAAGGTATTTGAGTTATATAAGCTATAACTATTGCTCAAAACAAAAACCTAAACCATCAACATAAATGAGTATCAAAATATTCATTAAAGTATTTCATGTCATATAAAAGACAATACATCCTATTTTCAGAAATCTTACTCCCAATAATTTTTAAAAATTTTTAGCCCCAACCCAATAATACAAGTGTCCTTTAAAAGCACTCGTATTAATTATATACATAAATTATATAAATAGGGGCACCTGGGTGGCTCAGTCAGTTAAGCGTCCAACTTCGGCTCAGGCCATGGTGTTGTGGTTCATGAGTTCAAGCCCCGTGTCAGACTCTGTGCTGATAGGTCAGAGCCTGGAGCCTGCTTCAGATTCTGTGTCTCCCTCTCTCTCTGCCCCTCCCCCGCTCACACTTTGCCTCTCAAAACTAAACATTTAAAATAAAAAATTTTTGGGGCGCCTGGGTGGCGCAGTCGGTTAAGCGTCCGACTTCAGCCAGGTCACGATCTCGCGGTCCGTGAGTTCGAGCCCCGCGTCGGGCTCTGGGCTGATGGCTCAGAGCCTGGAGCCTGTTTCCGATTCTGTGTCTCCCTCTCTCTCTGCCCCTCCCCCGTTCATGCTCTGTCTCTCTCTGTCCCAAAAATAAATAAACGTTGAAAAAAAAAAATTTAAAAAAAAAAAATAAATAAAATAAAATAAAAAATTTTTTTAAATACATTATATAAATAAACACACCAAAGAAGAATGGAAAGTCACAGTCAAATAAAACTATATTATCTACAGGGAGTAGGTTTATGCATAAGTTCTATTTTCCTTTAGCTTATCTGTGACTTAAAATTCTTCTACAACAATCAAAAATTATTTTCGTGAAAAACAAAGGGGAAGAGAGGATTATTTCCATGTCATGTTAACTTTGAAATTTTTAGAGTTCAAGTTCTGAATGTCCCATTTTCCTCACCAAAAATATTTAAATCATAAAATGTCTTGCCTCTGGCTCCTTGACACCAGTGGTGGACCCACTCATGAATGGAGCAGGCGTGAGGCCAGAGCAGTCGGTGTTCACACAAAAGGTTCTAACATTTACCTTGGTGTTTGTGAACGGGGTATCACTGGCTTGTCCACAGGAAAAAGAAGGAAGCCTTAAACGAACTGGTTTTCCCCGAGCCTTCTTGGCTAGCAGCAGAAGATAGGTAGCTGTGAGGTGATCATACTGCCACTGGAAAAAAGAAAATCAAAGTTGTTTACAAGACTAAAGTTGTTTTTTGAAATAATGTTTTATTTTACATTAACTTTTTTCCATTCAGAAAAAATAACCGTCCCTTGTACCATGTCTCCTTCACTCTCTCATACACACACAGACAGACAGACACAGACACACAAACACACACACACACACACACACACACACACACACACACACACTTTCCACTCCCCAGAGGGAACCACTTTTAAATACTTTAAGCTATTTTGTCTATGTTTCTATGTTGCTTATAATTTAATTTAAATTTAAATGGCTTTAAAATTTTTCTTCAGCTTCAGATATTATCTATGAATTTCCTAGTATGGAAAATAAGAACTTTCCTTCCTGCCCCATACATTCTTCCTCCTGTATCCTCCCACTATAATTTTATGACAATTTTTAGTTAAATCAATATTTATACTACTATGATTATGTAAATAGTATTCACAACTAAGTAAGGGTAATGTTCAAAATATTTAATTGGTACCCTGACTCTAAGCAATTAGAACAGAGGCTGAGAGTGAGTAGGGTCCTGGGGGACCTGTGCCATGACAATTATTAACCTTTTAATCACTGGGTTCCAGGGGAGACTGGAGGGAGGTGCCCACGGGACCTAAGGGAGGTAATGGGCTACAGGGAGGGCACTCGTAGCAGTTCTTTACCAGTGAGTATATAGGTATTCTAATATCTTAACAACCAATATGGAATTGCACCTAAACCATGCAGGGTACTATCTTCGCATTTCCTTCTTTAATATCTTGGTTTTTCCTGAAGTTAAATAAAAAAGAGGCAGTTATTCGTCTTACTAATTCATCTGCACACTCTCCAGCACTCTTCACCTCCCCTCAACATGTCCACATACACCAGCTGATCTGGCCCCCACTCCGCTGCCATTTTGGAGACATTCCACCTGATGTGTGCATTCCATGCTCCACTCTGGACTGGCTTCTTTCTCAACCTGCAACTTAACTGCCAGTCTAGGGATTCCCTTCACCTCTATTCTACAATGTGTCCCCAGTTTCCTAGATCCTAAGGATTCCTCTTTCTTGGTCACTTGTTTGGGTGCAATATATTCTCCAGTAACTTCCTGAAGGTAGACGGATGGGAGGTAAATTTTTTGCGATCTTGCATGCCTGGTGACTGACTGCATTTCATCCTCACACTTGATTCTGGTTTGGCTGAATATACAATTTTAGGCTGATAATAATTTTCAGTTTTGAAAACACTATTCCATGGTCTTCTCACTTCTTATATAACTAATGAAAAATCCAAAGTCTTTCCGATTCCAAGCCTTTGTTTATGATCTTTTGGGGATTGTTTTTGGCTCTAGATATTTTTTGGATATTCCCTTTTCCCCCAGTTTTCTGAAATTCCACTTTGTGGAGATCTATTTTCATCCACATTTCCAAACCCTGGCTAAGCCCCTTCATTCTTAAAAACTCAGTTCTACTACCTTAGAAACCTTCAGTTCTGGAATATTTCTTCTTGTATTATTTCTTTGATGCTTTCTTCCCTTCTTCCTTCTGTTTTGTCTTCCTGCAACTTCTATTATTTGTATGTTGGACCTTTCTTACCCATTCTTTTCTATTTATGCATCTCTTTGTCTTTAAGTTCTACTTTTGAAAGATTTTCCTTTAATTTCATTTTCAATCATTTCTACTAAGCTTTTCATTTCTGTCGTCATATCTTAAACTTTCAAGAGCTATCTCTTGAAATGTTCCTTTTTAGTCATCTTATTCTTATTTCGAAAAAGAAATAGCTTCTCTTATCTCTGAGAATATTAATTATCATTTCTTAGCCATTTTCTTCCACTCCCTGCATTATCTTCTATTTCTGAATATCTTTACTTTTCTTTCTCTTCCCCCACCCCTGGTCCCCACCACTTGTTTTGATCTCTGATTTTCATGTTAGAGGCTTTCCTCAAATGTCTAGTAATCTTTGGCTGCCTGTCTCTATTTAAAGGGGAGGAATTATAAAGCACAGCTAATTAAAGGGTCTGTGTGTAGTTTGAGGCTGCTCATCAGCTTGGGGGCTTCCCTCTATAATGAACAGACAGGAATCTAAACTCCCAACCATTAGGTATAGTAGGTCCTCCCCCTTGGCTTTTCCCTAGAAATGAGTCTTCCAATATCTTCCCCACCCCCACTGCAAACAGGATAAATTCCTGGTTCCAGCATTCTCAAAGTTGAAGAGGGAAAGGGGTTAGAGGTAGTGGTTCACTGTTAAATATGAGGACTGCATGTGCCCATGCGTCCATTTCAAAATGGACAAGCTGTGTGTGGTACAACAGTGCCTCTTGGTCAATATCTCCTATCTTCCGCTGGGGTGAGGAAGACGTGGCTATCATGCAGCTCAAGGTAAAGAAAGGGATTTAGGGGTCCAATTGTTTCTCATACAGACTTTCAACCAATCTTCCTGTTCCACCCTAACTTCAGAGGTTCTGAGTACCTCTGATTCCTAAGCTTTTCTGGAGCCTAAGGTCCTAATCAATTTGTTTATTTTCTTTTCCCAATGCAGGCACTTAGCTTTCAGCTTTCTCTAAAATGCTATGTCAGCTGCCACTTACCTATTTTATAACTCCCAAAATTTTACTCACATTACTTTTTGTCTCCTCTTTTATTCCAATCACCCTTGCGAAATGTTTTACCTTTTTACCCCTTTATTATTATTTTAGTGAGGTTTTAGCAAGTGTTGGATGTAAACATATCTGTTCAATCCATTATGTATAACTGAAAGTTTCTAAATAATGCACTCATAAGACTAGGAGACTCTACCCTATAAGAGCGTTAAATTTTAATAACATTGAATAATATTTTTTTAATGTTTATTTATTTTTGAGACAGAGAGAGACAGAGCATGAGCAGGGTAGAGGTAGAGAGAGAGAGGGAGACACACAATCTAAAACAGGCTCCAGGTTCTGAGCTGTGAGCACAGAGCCCAGTGCGGGGCTCGAACCCACGAATTGTGAGATCATGACCCGAGCCGAAGTCGGACGCTTAACTGACTGAGCCACCCAGGCGCCCCAACATCGAATAATATTTAATGCATGTATCTCCTCAAAAGGCACATGATCCAAAGAGGTCTACTACCAAAAAGGTCTAAATAAAAACCCTGTTTTTATTACATTTTATCAGTTAATATTTTAGATGGCCACAGTCATCATGTATGCTTTGAAATCTATAACGGACCTACCAATCGAGTGGAAGAGGTATAAAATACTGTGATAAATTATCACAGAATGTTGCCTTTAATCCAGACAGGATCAGGGGATGGTCAGAAAAGGTTTCATGGAGAAGGTACTTGGGAACTGGGTAAAAACTATGTAGTTATAACCACTCTCCACTTTCCAAAAACTACATTCAAGATTTTTTTTTTCCCCACCTGCCACATCTATGGTCTCACGTATGATAGCCCTACCTCTTTGAAAGAGATGCCATAAACTGATTACAGAATGGCTCAGAAACAAGTTGCCATTTGCGTACCAACAATGGTCTGGCACAATCCAGGCACTGTAAACAATACCTGGACAGTTTTCGATGGAGTTTTCTAAAGCTGCCTAGAGTTTTACAACCATACTCTAACCCCTCTTTACCCCTAAGCAAAAAAAAGCATCCTTTTTATAACTTTTTCTGGCCATAGCCACTGCATACAACTCGTCACAATCAGATGCACAGGGGAGTTCTGTGTTCAATAACAGATGAGTCAGCACATTAGTTACATTTTCAGGTGATGTCAATCCACAAGTCTAACACAACCAATGTCTCCATTATCTTTTAGGCAGCTCCAACAGGTTTACCTATTATGAAGAAGGTTGCATTTCTAAAAACAACAACAACAACAACTAAAAACATTTTTAAAAAAAGAAAAAACATTTAAAAATCCCCAGCTGTTGCTCACACAGGCTAAATGTTAAAGAACTGCCCAGGCACCTGGGCTGAGGGCAGGCAAGTTACTGGTACAGAGTGTTTTGAGAAACTGAGGAGTGGCTCACTATCATTCCCTTGACCTTGGTCCTTGAGGCCTTTAAACTTCTGCCACCAGAATACAGGGAGATTTGCACTACAGGGATGGGGGAAGGGATCTGTCTTGGTCTGAATTGGTTCTCATATGCACTTGTGACCTTCAGTGAAGTCCCCATACCAGATGACTGGCTGCCCCCACAAATCACAGACACTCACAGCTGGAAGAAGAGGGGAGCAGTAAGGAAAGCAATCAGGTGGAAGGAAGCTCTGGCACCACTACTGGAAGCTCTCGGGCAGGCTACAGCGGGATAGCCCGAAATCATGACACAGTGAAACTCTAACTGCTGCATATAAAAAGCAGATTAAGAGTGCTCATGTATATAATATAAAAGCGGGACTTCTTTTTTTTTTTTTTATTTTTTTTTTCAACGTTTATTTATTTTTGGGACAGAGAGAGACAGAGCATGAACGGGGGAGGGGCAGAGAGAGAGGGAGACACAGAATCAGAAACAGGCTCCAGGCTCTGAGCCATCAGCCCAGAGCCTGACGCGGGGCTCGAACTCACGGACCGCGAGATCGTGACCTGGCTGAAGTCGGATGCTTAACCGACTGCGCCACCCAGGCGCCCCTAAAAGCGGGACTTCTAGGAGGCCAATGTTTGACAATAATAGTGTTTCTCTCTCTGCACAAAGATCAGCAGCACCATCCCAGGATGGATCACACTAACCTGATCTCTGTCTGTCCTGTCTAACCAGACCCCAAAGTAAAGGCAAAGCTCCTGAGGTGCCAAAAACAAGTATAACAGACACAGCTGATCTCAAACCTGCTGTTCCTGAGGCTCCTTAAACTGGAAAGTTCTTAGGACCAATGTGAATTCCCTGAGACTACCTAAACCAAGATTTCTCCAACCAACACTACTGATGTTTGACCTGGATAATTCTTTCTTGTGAGGGTCTGTTCTGTGCATTGTGGGATATTTAGCAGCATCCTGGCCTCTAACCACTAGATTCCATT